TGTTCTCGCACAGCTCAGTAAACAAGCCTGAAGTGTTTTGAAAGCCTCTGCCGATGTAAAGGACTGTGAAATAAATGCAAGAATTGCAAAAGAAGGGCCAGCTGCTGGGGAGGGGAGCGTGGGCGGGAGGAGGGCATCCAGGCTGCCCCCCCACCGGCTCCGGGTGCGTCTGTATGGTGATGGGTCACTGTGTGTGCCTGGGCTCCGGGCCACAGCCTGGGTGTGCAGATGTGGGGGCCGCGTGTGCAGATGTGGGGCCGCGCGCTCGCCCGACCGGCGAGGGTGCGCCTGGATCCGCGCCTCTGGGTCTGAACTCAGAGGGCGTGACGCCTGTGGGTGTTTCGGTGCCCGTGGGGCTGCCCCTGTGCCTGTGCCTGCGGCTGGGGCTGGTGTGTCTGCACACGCAGAGCGCAGCAGCGCCCCTGCCCGCCCCAGCTCTTCCCCGGGAGCCCAGCCGGAGGGGACCCAGGGTAAAGCCTCCCCTGGAAGGGAGCCGGGAGCCCCGCCCCCCAGGGAGCTAATTAAGGGAGCCCTGGCGTCTGAAGCTGCGACGTGGGCAGGAGCCCGGTGCTGAGGTGAGCCTGGCGGGGAGCACGCCTTGGGGCCTGGACCTGCTCACACACTGCGATCGGCTCCTCCGGGAGTGTTTTACGCAGTAATGATGGTGCTGAGGGCACGGGAGCTCCTGCGGGGCTCTCCCGAGCGCTGGGGGAGGGGGCCTCAGACACCAGACCTGACCTTCCCGGCAAAGACCAGGATGGAGCCCCGCTCAGCCACTCCCTGCTCTGTGGACTGGAGCTCAGTTTCCTCATCTGTAAAACGGGCAGAACAGCGCCTCCATCCCAGGACGGTTGTGCGAGTTGGACGAGAGCCCTTGCAGGGGGACAAGGTGCCTACAGCAGAAACACACGCCCCGCCGCCCGCCCCACCCCTGCACTGTGGGCTGGAGGAGTGTGGCCAAGTCGGGCCTTGTTCTCCGAGCGCACTGGGACCGGCAGCCTCACCCTGGGGAGCAGGCAGGGTGTCGCTCTTCCTGGAATCATCCCCCCCAGATCCCCCACAGCCCAGCCCCCCCACAGCCCAGCCCCCTACCACGCCCCGTCACTCAGGAGCCAGGAGACGGGGCAGTCGGCTCGACTCAGGGCTGGGTGCTGGAGGGGCGCCCGCCCCAGGACAGGCACAAAGCAGAGCCAGGGAGGCAGGCGCCACGCTGCAGGAGAAACACGGCGGCCTTGGGACCATGGTGGGGCATCGGCCAGCCTGGGGAGCGGGGAGGCTGAGGCCTGAGAGGGCGGGGAGCCCAGGGAAAAGCAGGGCGGGCCAGGAGCAGGCACACAGTAGGTGCTCAGAGCCCGCTGAGTGAACGATTAAACCCTGTGAGGCTGGAGGAAACTGAATCCCAGAGAGGGCACGTCCCTCTAAGGTCACCAGGTCCTGTCTGCCTGGCCCCATGTGATGCCCCTCCCTGCCCGAGAGTGGGCTGGTGTCCCCAGGCCCGACGCCCGGGAAGGCCTGTCCCCACTGCTGCCCGCTCCCCGCCAAGTGCTGCAAACCCCTCCCGAGGCTCCGGGGTCAGAGCCAGAAGCCACTCTGTCCCCGGCATGGCTGGGGAGACAGCCAGCTCGGGAACAGCCGAGTCCCTGAATACCTGCCCGAAGCCGCGGGGCGGCCTCGGGGGCAGAGCAGCGGCCTCCAGCCAGCGCCCACGGCCAGGCTGTCCACCCCTCGGGCGCCCGCGGCTGGCGCGGGGACTCCCCGCCGGCTGAGTCTCTGGGCACCTGTGAGCCAAACCACTCAGAAACCACAGGCCAAACGAACACACTTTCCAAAGTGCCCGGGAGAGAGGGAGACACCGCGGCTTCTGTGCCGCCGCCCCACCCCGCCCCGGGGAACTGAGGCAGCAAAGGGCGTGGGCGCCGGGGCAGGGTGGGACTCCACGCCCTGAGCTCCCCAGCCCCCGCCTGCTGTAGGCGCAGAAGCCCCTCTCCTGTGTCCAGCACTGGTCCTGGCCCTGAGGGGTCTGCTAATGCCCGGCAGGCCCTCTCCCTTCTCAGGAAAGGGACAAAGGCGGGAGGCATTGTCCCCGCCAGACTGGGACAGGGTGAAGCAGGGGGTGAGGACTGGTGACACGGCCACGCTGCCAAGACAGCCTCTCAGGGACCGATCTCTTGGCCGCGACGTGGTGTCCTCCCACAGACTGCGCGCTTCCCCGGGGGCCTGGCTGGGTCTCCCCTCGGTGTCCTCAGTGTCCACAAGGCACCGACTCTCACAGCCCCGAAGGCCAGAGACACCGGGCCGGGTGCGCACAGCCTCGCTTCCCTACGACCGCTCCAGGCGTGGCTGTGAGAGATCCCTTGACGTATCAGTGGATGGACAGAGGGACAGGGGCCTTGAGCCCAGGGTCTCCCCCTGTCCCCAGGGGCCGAATGGCTGGGTCATTAGGACTTGGCTATCAACCCTCAGCCCAGGAAGGGAGGGAGGGAGGCGGGAACAAGGCCCCCAAGCTCCCAGAGGCAGCGAGAGGACAGGTGGGTGAGGCAGGGAAGGGAGTGGGTGTTCCTGGGACAGGGCAGTGTCCATCCTGTCCTGGGGGTGGGAGAGGGGAACCCACAGAGGATGTGTGCAGGAGGATGTGGAGCGGGGATGGGTAGGGAGCAGGGGGAGGGTGTAGAGAGGTGGGATGGGGGAGGGGCAGGGGGAGGGGCAGGGGGGAGGGTTCAGAGGGAGAGTACAGATGCGGCTCCTCAGTCCCCTTTCTGGCCTCCCGTCCCACATCTGTGAAAGGAGGAGGGGTCTGGCTGGAACTTCGTCCTGGTCCTTGGGGTCCAGGGCAGGGGACGTCTTAGTAAGAGGGACACCCCAGCTCTGTCGGTCACTCAGCCAGCGTGGAGAGGGTCCCAGGCTCTGTGCCAGCCTCGGGCTCTGGAGGAGCCCAGCCAGCACCACTCCTGCCTCAGAAGGCCCCCCAGTGACTGCACCCAGTAGTCACACCAAACCCAGAGCCCCTTCTCCTGCACCCAGCGCCCTCGCCTCCCTCTGGAGGGCCGGGGAAGGGGCGCCTGTCTGCGGGGACGCCCTCCCGCACTGAGGAGCCCTGTAGGCAGGGTGCCCGGGACCAGGACCCCCGCCCTCCCACACGCCTCGAACCCCCAGCAAAGCCCTTGCGGCACCGGGTACAGAGCGGCACCAGTACCAGCTGAGGGGAGCCTGCCGGGGCGGGGCACCCCCACGGAAGAGCCTGTGAAAACTAATGCCGCGGGGTGTGCGGATCCCTGAGGAAACTCCTGTCATAAAAGACCCCGGGGGGCTGCTGAGGGAAGAGAGGGAAACGGGCAGCTGGGTGTGGAGGAGGAGGACGGAGACGCCCAGAACGGCCCTCTGGGGACCCAATGGCATCGCAGAGAAGGGGCGGCCAGAAGGGCACGGGGGTTGGGGTAGCAGCGCCCTGGCCACAGAAGCCCAGCGAGAGCTGACAGCCCCTGGCAGGGGTGGGGGATGGCAGAAATAGCTTCCCTCCTTCCCGCTCCAGACACCAGGTAATGCTTCGAGGAGGGGCTGTGGTCGCCCAGAGGAAGAGGAGCAGGGGCAGTGGGCAGGGTCCGGAGACTGATGTCTCTGCGCCTCAGTGTCCCACTCTGTAAAATGGGCACGTGTGTGGTCCTGACCCACCAGGGGTGCTGTGAGGATGAACCTAGGCGTGTGCGTGCAGGGTGCCAGGCCCACCCAGTACCTGATGAGCCTTAATTCTCTTCCAGCCGCTGGCATCGCTCCTGCAGTGGGAAGGCAGCAAGCGCCCCCAGCCCAGAAAACCTGGGCCCTCCTTTCCCGCTGACTCCTGGTGCGCCCACCCTCCCCACTGGCAGGGGTTCAAAGGGGACGTGATCAGCGTTTGCCCAAGGGGGCTTTCTGGGCCCTGCCACATGGGGGCCCCGGGCGTGCACACTTGAGGGTCAACATGGGGGCTCTGGGGCCTGGGAGATGCGGACTGAGGGCTTGGCATCCTGCAGCAAAGATGGGGTTTGGCCCGAACCTGGGACCCCGAGACCCCCGTGCCCCAGAGCCCTTTCCCGGGGGCCCCGCTACCATCTCATAGGTCTGGTGCTCCTGGAGCAGCTTCCGGAAGCCCTGGGGCAGCCAAATGTCTTCCTCTTCCCCCTCCCCACAGAGCTTCATCTGAGGGGGCGGAGGTGGCAGTGGCAGGAGCTTTGGGGCGGCTCCACGTGGCAGAGCCATCGAGTCAAACTGCCACCTCGGCCAAAGGGCAGGGAGAGTCCAAAGCCCCCACCTCACTGCTGGCATTTCTCACTGGCTTCACCGGACATTTAAGAGCTCAGGGCTCCGTCTCCATCTCTCCGTCCAGCCCTCACATACTCCCTGCTGGCGTCAACTTCCCAAAACATGGGTGCCAGCCTACCATCCCGTCACTGCACAGTCCTCCTTGGCTCCCCGCTACCCCAGAATGAAAGTTCTCATCACACACAGGCTTCCTCTCCAGTGCCGGCCTCTCCTTCCCCACTCAGCTTCCCAAATTAAAGTCACACCTCCTCCTCCTGGATCTTCTTCCCAGGGACCCTCAGGATGTGCTGTTGCACCACGAGGCACCTCCCAGTCTGCCCCACTCCCCTCATCACAATGGCCGGTGCCCGGTGCCCAGTGCCCCACCCCTCCCAGCCCTGCATGCAAGCTGGTCTGATCAGCTGATTCATACTAGAGTGAAAATGGCTGAAAAGCCAGTAGCCGTGTGAATTTTCTCTGGAAACAAAGCACTATTTATATGGAGCTCCTTGTAGTCACACTTTAGCCAAAGACCCCGGACTTCAAGGTGGGGGGCTCCTCCTGCCCCCCCTTCTCAAGGCCCACAGTGTGACAGTGACTTGACCAGCCCCTCCTGGAGTTGATGGCAGGACTGGGTCAGGATTCCAGAGGCCCGGCCTGCAGCCCAGACCCCTCTATTTCCCAACCCAGCCGAGAGTGGGAGGCTGGGAGCCCTCTGGCCCCCGGAAGCATCTCCCGGTCATGGGACTCACAGGAGACTCCTGGTGGGGAGTGGATCCGAGGCCCTATCTCCAGGCGGGGGGAGGCCACGGGCCTCCAAATTCCAGGCTAATTGGCGTCTGGGGAGCACACTCCTCAACGGCAGGCTTGTTCTCCTGCCCGGTCTGCGCACTGACGCTGCCCCGGGACACCCCCCCAAACCCAAACTGACCCAGGCCCGTCTGCCGGGGCCGCCCCAGGAAGCCTCTGACCCGCGCCCTCTCCCAGCTGGGAGGCACCACAGCGGCTGGGCTGCCGGCCTGGGAGGAGAGCCCCCCTGACCTCGGGGCCAGAGTATCGCAGGGAAGCCGGCCCGAGACAGAGGCAGAGATGGAGCAGCCCGTGAGCAGCGGCAGGGAGAGGCGCCCACGCCGCCGCCGCCGCGGACACGCAGACCACGCTCTGGGCAGAGCTCGCCGCAAGAATTGCCCAACCAGACTATTGCAATAGGTTAGGGTTCCGATCGGCCCTGCAGATGGCCGTCAAGGCCAGGCCTCCCGGCCACCCTGAGCGCCCAGGCTTTGGGGACCGTGGCTGCCGAGTAGGGAGGAAAGGTCACGTCCCTGGGCCCCCGAACACGTCGTCTGTGGGCAGGACGGGACGGGCAGGCATGGGGCTCACGGATGGTCATCCTCACCCCAGGACGGTCCTGAGGAGTCTCTCGTTTGGCCCCGGGGAAGCAGGGAAGAACCAAGTTGGGAAGACCGAGGGGGTAAAGGGACACAGCCAGACCACAGCCCAGGGCCCCGCTTCAGCATCCATCTTCCTCCAACCAAGACTCACCCTGCCCACCTCCCCCTCTGTCCAGCAGCCGGGCAGCCCCCTGGGCCTCTCACCAGCCCAGCCCAGGGCCTCTCAGCTTGGGTGGCCAGCAGACCAGACACAGGTAGACGGCCCTGCAGGCAGACTGAGGGTCAGAGACTGCACTGACCTGCGCCTCCCTGGGCCCCCATCCCCTCTTTGAGGTTAGAGTCCTGCCAGGATTCGGAAGCACCACCTGCGTAGTGACGGCTCCCTTCCCACAGTCTTCTGGCTGGGGTCAACCCCAGAGGAGGGCCTCTCCACTCCCAAGGGGCCCCCAGCGCTCCCTGGTGAGATGCCCACCGTCCAGACTCGACCTCCCGCCCCACAGTGGGGTCTTGCCCTTGGGGTCCCTGCCAGGTTCTTGGCGAGCATCCCTGTGACATGCTGGTCTCTGAGCCCCGCTTCCCAGCCACACCCACCTCCCAGCCACACCCACCTCTTGATCATGGAAGCTCAAGCAAGGAGAACCTTCTGGAAGGCTCAGCGGGGATGGGCCCAGCTGAGAGCTCTGTTGTCCGGCTACAGCCGCGCTCAAGGATGTGTCCAGGACCACTGGCTGGCCCGTTCCCAGCAGATCCGCATAATCCGCCCAAAGCAACATGGCTCGTTAAAAGTTTTATTGATTGAGCACAACTGAGTGTTGGTAGCAGAAGTCCTCCTGGTGTGGCCCACTTTTCCTAATGGGTGATCTCAGGCACTCGAGCTAGTGTGTTAAAGGGGCTTTAGGACAGTTTAATAGCTCATAAAATTTTATAGTCCCAGTTGAAATCAGAGTGATAACTCTGGTCTGCACAGCTAAATGTCTCTCATCTATTTTTTCCCCCGTTTATTGGAAAGTTAACATCTGCTCTGCTAAGGGCGGGAAGAAAAAGGAAGGAAAATAATGATCTGTTTTTCTGGGAGAGAGGTAGGCAACTTGGGCTCTCCTGGCAGCATCTCATTTTCCAAGCGCATAGTTTTCCTTTAAGTCGGAAAGACGATCGAGAAGCCGGCTGACCCACAGTTCACAGAACACCCCAGCAGGCATCGGTCCCCCCACAGCGACTGCTGAGAAGTTGAAGTCTATCCAGGCCACAGCCGCAGCCCGGGATCAGCACCAGCCTGGGGAGCCCATTAAGAGTCACTACTCGGTAATTTGCAAGACACCTACTGTGTGCATGGTCCAGGGGGGCCCACAGAGGCCAAGCACACAAGTTCACTGCCTGCGAGGAGCTTACCCTCGGAAGATAAAACTGTAACCGGGCTCTGCTCCCAGACAGCCCTTGCGAAGGCTTCTGGGAGGAGGCAGGGACAGGACAGACGCTCCAAGGAAGAGCAGGATCAGAGGCTGGGCCCGACGACGGGAGAGCCCAAAGCCCTCGCTGCACCGCACGGTAGCGGGCCACCCGACCGACCTCCGGGAGCCCATTTCCCCGCCTTGCAAGTGCGAATCACGTTAGTACGTACCTCTCAGCGCCAGAGTGAGAACAAAAGGCAATACAGCATGCGGAATGCCGGCCCACTGGTGTTTCAGACGCAGCCTCACAAGAAGGAGATCTGGGCAGACAGCTCGGTGGGTCCTCAAAAGTACACGTGGAGCTACGCAGGCCCAGCAACTCCACTCCCCCATTTTACTCAAAAGAAGACTCAGCGGCACGGACAGGCGTTCCCACGCGGAAGAAACTCAGACCCATCACAGGAGGCCCCGCGTGGTACGACTCCTTTGACGTGAAACATCAGCACAAGCAAATCCCTAGAGACAGAGAGCAGATTGGTGGTAGCCAGGGGCTGGGGAGGGGGAATCCTTTTGGGGTGGTGACAGTGTTTCAGAACTAGAGGCGGTGGTTGCGCAACATTGTGAATGTGCTAAATGCCACTGAATTGCCTGCTTTAAAATGGTTAGTATTTAGACATGTGAATTCCACCTCAATAAAAAAAATTTTTTAAGAAGGAAATTTACATTGAGAAACATGACCTATGAAACACTCGCCCGGGCCGGACCCCAGACACAGTGCCTCCTGTCTCTCTCCAGCCTGTGACAAGCGAGCTGCCATGTCCCCCCGCCCACCCACCTGGTCCAGCCCTGGAAGCCCAGAGCCTGGATGCAGCAGGCAGGAGAGGGCGCGGGCTGGCTGCCCCACAGAGCGATGGAGAGGCCCGTGTCCTAGGGTGTTGGAAGGGTTAAGTTAAATAGATTACTTATGGGAGGTGCATTATAAAGAGAGAGGGACAAGCCCTCAGGCACACTGGCTGTCCCCACAGGGGAGCACCTGCCCTGGCAGCCTGCGGGGACAGGCACAGCTGGGGCACCCACAGGGGTCAAGGCAGAGCCCCGACCTGCCCCAGACTTCCGGGAAGCTCTGCTCCCCTGCCCACCTTCCCCGCCACTACCCCCCTCCCTGCTTCTCTGGTTTCCTCCCAGACTTCCCATCTTAATTCCACCCGGGAGAGGCAGCCTGGGGTGGTGTGTCTGTTGTGCCGCCCCACAGGCTGCCAGGCCCAGGGTGTGAGCCCGCCTGCCCCGAGGGAAGGCTGCCAGCCCCGCAGCCCCTGACGCAGCGCCGCCCACACGTGGCTGCCGCAGAGGCGGGACCCAGGCTCCCCACCCCGGGCCACCACTGCCTGGACAACCTCCTGGGCTTCTGCCTATCAGGGAAAGGCCAAAAAGAGGCCGCGTGCCTCCCGCCACCAGGAGGCAGCCACGCACACAGGGCAACACTCACAGGGACCTCAGGTGCTGGAGGGCCCCACAGGTGTTCGCCGGGCGGGCGCCGCAGGCCCACAGCGCTGCCCGGTGGGGCCCCAGAGCTCGGGGAAACGGCGTGGCCGCAGGTGCCCGGGTCTGCCCGATGGGCTGGGAGCTGCCCAGACTTTGAAATATCACTGCCTAGCAAGAAACACGCCTGCCGAGGAATCTGCAAATCTTTGAATTCATAAATGCCCTGTGGGGTGTAGTGACCCCTTGGAAGGCAGGCGGCTGTCCTGGAAAAGGGCACGTGAGCCCAGCCCGCACGGACAGCAGGGAGGGGGTCGCAGAGCGCTCGCCTTTTCCTGGGGCGGGCTTTCCTCCAAGGAGTGGGTCTCATCGGATCCGGATGCCGAAGACCCCGGCAAGGATGCGGCCCCTGAAGGACCGGGCTGGACGGCCCGTCACGGGAGCCACACGCTGGCCCTGCACCCAGTCCCCACGTGCCACTCAAGCACAGGGCAGAGTCCCCCTCACGGGCCTGCAGTGAAACCTTGCACACAGCGGCAGGGTCTGCTGGCCACCCCTGGCCCCCAGCCTTCGCCTCCTCCTCTGTGTGGAGCAGGCCCATCCCACCTCCAGGTCGCCTCCTGGAGGCCATCCCCACCACCCCCGGACAGCAGCCCCGGCCCGGCCACGGAGGCGTCCCCTGGAGGCCCGTCCTCAAAGACCCAGCAGCACTCATGTCCCTCTGTCCTGTGTCTGATCTGTGTGTGTTTCCTGCCTCAGCCTCCGTGGGGCCTGACACCTTCCCAGCTGCACTTCCCGCGTGCTGAGCCCCAGGGGAGGTAAATGTTAGCTGACTGCGGACAGAATATCGAAACAGAAACACTGTGATCAAGACACCTGGGTTCGAGCCCTAGCCCGGCTGCACGGCGCTGTGCGCTTGCGCCCGTTTTTAACCCTTCTTGTCCGTACAATAGAGGAGACCCAGGGACGCACAGACCAGCGCTCTCTCCATCACTCCGCCTGCCCGCGGACCCCCAGAAGGCAAGGACTTTTTAGGGGGTCTTGAGACCGCCCCCACCCCCGGAGCGAGGAGCTGCAGTTAAGTCCTGTGCCCTCCCATCCTCGGGGGAGCTTCCGACGCGCTGACACAGCGCACTGTGGGCCCCGAAATCATCAGATTGCCGGAGAGGGAGGCAGAGAGGAAGGGGAGGGTAACTGAGCATCAGAGAGGAAGCTATTCTCAGGTCAGCCATTTCATGCTTCCTCCTCGTATGCATGTTTCCGAAGTCACCCCCCAGGCAGAGCAGTTCTGCTGTTTCACGACATGAAGTGGATGTTGTCGTGACAGCATCTTACAGAAACCATCGTAGCCCCGCTCACAGAACACCAGCGACGCACCATAAAACCCTCCAGGTGGCCTCACTCTCCCACTTTGCAGCCGGGAAGACCACGGCCGCGCCGCCTGGGTCCCCAGGTCACGCGGGGCCTCGGCCACCGGTCGGCAAAGTCACAGGCCGCGCGCGCTCCCTCCCCTGCGCAGCTGCCAGCGAAAGCCCGTCCCGATTC